GAGATTTTTTCGCTATAGGGCGCGTGCGCTCGCCAGACAGACAGAGAGAGACATAGAGACAGAAAGCGAGAAATCACCCCCCAGGGGGGATGGTCACGCCGCAATCCCTTCTCCTCCATTCTCCTCTCGGGATCTTGGGCACGTACGCACACGTGCCCGGCGTGAGTTTTAAGCCACCGGGTCCGGGACGCGAACCGCGGTCGACTACGTGGGAGTCCAGCGACATAGCCATTACGCTAACTGCTGGTTCCCAACCCAGCGTGAGTTTAAGCCACCGAATCCGGGACTCAAACCGTGGTCGGCTACATGGGAGTTCAGCGACATAGCCATTACGCTAACTGCTGGTCCTTGCACATTTTTTTGCTGTAAAATAGCAAAGAAAAGTTTATCATGAGACATACTGCTTTAAAGTGAAAGAAGTCCATAAAAATATTGTTAACTTCCCTGTTAAACTTCATCAGTTAGTTTGATGGAACCTGTCTGATAACTGTGTGCTTAAGAATTTGTTAAGTCATTTCTAGTTTTAAATTATATGTGTTGGTTTAAACTGTGCACTTTATATAATTTTCTTATTTGTTTTGAAAATTTCCTTACAGTTTTTTAAGGGAAATTAGCAAATTGTAGAGAATTTTTCATTGTATTGCATCTTTTATTTGGAAGTGTACTTGGAAGTAAAGACTGGTATCATAAACAGTAATTAGGGTGACTGACATCAGCTAGGCATTCCAGGTGTATCTGATGTTATCCTGTGGAGTTGGTGCCATTGCCATACCATTTTACAAGTGAGAAAAGTGAGAAACCCCGAGATTAAGTGAATTGACTAAGATTCCACAGCTAGTTGGAGAAAGCTGAGTGTTTGAATCCACAAGATCTGTTTCTAGAGTTGATCATTTTAAGTGCTAAAGGGAAATTACTGTACATATTACAAATATCTTTTAGCCTACTTATAAAAATGTGAAAAAAAATTAGTAAAAGTGAAGGACTGAAATTCAGTGCCCAGTTTTCAAAACTTCATAAAATATTATCCACAGGGGAGAAAATATTTCCATTCCCACATTGCATTACAAGTTAGCTCAACAAAATCCTATCAATAAGTTAGGTTAAATCTAGGTCCTAGGAAAGGTAATACTGGGTTATCACAAAAATTATGACACATATTTGCATGGAAAAAAACAAAGAAAAATATATCATGACTTTCCCCACAACCTAATAAGTTGTCCTTTCTGATATGTGTGTGTTCGACTTATCAGAAAAAAATTAACTATTGAAAATACACTTTTCATATTCTTTCCTGAGAGACTGTATCTACATTGATTATTTTATCTCAAAAGTAAAAATAATGATAAATCCAATTCTGAAGTTTTTATTATATAGAGATCTTTTATGAATGAAAGGGATTTACATTTTAGAGTCATCCTAGTTCCACACTCTGCACGTCTGTTCTTGCTATTTTAATACCGCTCTTTTCCTGTGCTGTTGTCATGGGTCCTGTGTTCCCCCATATGCTCGCTCTCCTTGCCCAAGTCTGAGCAGAACGTAACAGTGCTTTCCATATAGGACAGATAAAGTACATTTCTGCTGGTGAGTGGATTCATCTGTGTGCCGTGAATTTTTTTCAGACTGTATTTCTTTCTATTTATGGTCTACTTTATCTTGTCCACTAGGGGGGGATATGACTGCACAAAATTAAGAAAATATGTCACATTGTTTCTTTCTGAAAATAGCATAGCATTATATTATTTTGAGTACAGTATAAAAATGAAAAGGATTTTCTTTATATGTAAGTAATTTAATTAGATTTATTTAATGTAGATTGACATCACATTTATTTGTTTTCTGACAGCCTCTATAATATTTTCATTAATTTAGGAAATTGTCAATTATATGACATTGTTACAAATAAATTGTTATCAGCACTGTAAGACAACATTGAAAATTGTATTTTAATATAAAAATGCATGGAACCAATTTGAAACCCTTTGTGGTATAAAAGCAGAAAAATTGTTTTTTAATAAAGTGGTTAATCATGCAAGTAGAAATTATATAATCAACTTCTATAAACAATACATTTTCTAGCCGAAATTTCCTTACCTCTTTTTAATATTTTTCTAAGTCTTGTTTTTTAAGTAAGTTATGTCATTCCCACAACGTTTTACACAGATCCAAACTGACTTCTCAAATTTTTTGTGTAAAAGCTAAAACTTTATTTTGTAAATCCTATATTACCTGGACAATATTTTTAAATTTTAAAACAGATATAGTCATGATTGTATTTTAGCCTTCAGTGCCCCAATAGTTGTGGTTTGACTATTTTGAAACATTTACAGGGAGTTAAAAATACCACATCTAAAGAGAAATTCTTGACAGTTTATAAGGAATATTTTTATTTTTTCTAAAGCGATACTGATTTTTTGTTGTTGTTGTTGTTGGGGGAGAGGTTTTTGCTATAGGGCGCGTGAAGACAGAGACAGACAGAAAGTGAGAAATCACTCCCCAGGGAAAGTGGCCATGCCACAATCTCTTTTCCTCCATTCTCCTCTCGGGATCCTGGGCATGCACGCACATGTGCCTGGCGTGAATTTTAGCCACTGGGTCCTGGACTCGAACCACAGTTGAGTACATGGGAGTCCAAAGACATAGCCATTACACTAACTGCTGGTCCCATGATTTTTTAATACCCATTTTTGCTTTACCTTTTTGAGTGTTTGTATTAAAATGGGTTTTTACAACAGGTTTTAAAATTATATTTATAATTTTTGGTTATAATTATTTTACTTGTATTTTTGGAATCTTACCACGTTACTAACCAGACTAAGCAGTATTTGCTTTTCATAATAGACCATCTGGCACATTTCATAATGTATTTAGTCAAGCTTTAAAAAGAAATACAATGCTGCCTCCAGAAGGAATTTCTGATAATAGCAATTTGTCATCTTTGCCCTATTTTTTTTTTTTTTTTTTGGAGAGGTTTTCGCTATAGGGCACGTGCACTCGCCAGACAGACAGAGAGAGACAGAGAGACAGAAAGCGAGAAATCACCCCCCAGGGGGGATGGCCATGCCACAATCCCTTCTCCTCCATTCTCCTCTCGGGATCTTGGGCACGCACACACACATGCCCGGTGTGAGTTCTAAGCCACCGGGTCCAGGACACGAACCGCGGTGGACTACGTGGGAGTCCAGCGACATAGCCATTACGTTAACTGCTGGTTTCCTGCCCTGTATTGTATTCATATAATTAAGTTCCATTTTGGCCTTTACATTTTTTTTTCTCATAAAATACAGTAATGTAAAAGATGGTATAATGATTATGCCTACCATTTAAAAATATTTCTGGTTTGCCACATTTATTTCAGATACTTTTAATGTTTTAGGAAACGAAACACTACACATTAAACCTTCTTTCTACCTCTGCATAATTTCAATTTTTTCTTTCCAAGCATCTGTGTCTTTTTTTCAATTATTTTATTTATTCTTTGTTGTTTGTTTGCTTAATTTGTCATAGGGCACATGCACTTATCAGAGAGAGAGAGAGAAAAGGGTAGTGAGAAAGCAAGCCACCAGTAGGTATGTTGCCTGTGTTATGCTTTTCTTTATGTAGTTTTCAGCAGAGCAAGGCTTCCCTACGATTCATGTCCGTCCGTACAAGCCGCTGTTCAGTGACACTGGTATAACATACCCCCCATCTATCTTAAGTGGTCAGTTCTACTGGTTGTTGTTGGTCATCACCACCCCATATTGGTTGTTAAAATTTCAAATGTCAGAAATTATTAATTTTTTCACACTTTCTAAATTGTTTATCATTTATTTATAGGTTGGAAGCTTTCTTAGAATCTATAGCCTCCATACCAAACTCCAATCAGTGAATTCAGAGAGCCAGGCCACCTTGTTAGCTCTAGAATTTCATCTCCATGGAGGTACCAGTTATGGTCGGGGAATCCGAGTCTTGCCAGAAAGTAACTCTGATGTGGACCAACTGAAAAAGTAAGTATTTATGTACCTATTTAGGAAAGGTACATGAGATAAAACTAAACTGATTTTGAATACTATTTGTATCTCATGCATTCCTTGCCTGAACCTCATAGCTTTCTGGGCTATTCTCCATATTGTTAAGTAGATGAGTCAAATGAAACAAATTATGTGATAGTAGGTCCATGAGCTGAATAGTAACTGACAGGGTGATAGTCTAAGTTTTCTAGTAGTTAGACTCTGTGTTTAATACTGTGCAAATGGGACCTTAGCCAAAGTTTAGAAAGCTTGATATGTATCTAGAATTCCAGAAATACTTAATCCTGCCATAAAAAATACTTTGTTTCATTTCATTTATCGTTTATTTGTTTGCCAGAGGGCATGTGCACTTTGTCAATTAGAGTCCCATGGGGAATGGTCACACTGCGATCCCTTGTCATCTATTTCTCCCTCCTTTTAGGATTTTGGGTATGCATGCACATGCTCCCTGTATGTTTCTCAAGCTGCTCAGTCTGACACTCAAACTGTGCAGTTGATCTTGTGAGATCCAGTTGTCTTAACCACCTTGACACAGGTGACGCCCCCAAAATACATGATATTTCTAAAGAGCCTCTAATTTGATAGATAAAAAAGTGTTTTTATTTAGTATGTCACATTTTTTAAACTTTTAAAAAACATTTCTTAAACTTATAGATTTTCTCAGAAAGAAAACAGTATCTCTATTTTTTTTTTGGGGGGGGGGAGGTTTTTGCCATAGGGCACGTGCACTCTCCAGACAGAGAGAGAGACAGAGACAGAAAGCGAGACATCACTCCCTGGGGGGATGGCCACTCCGTAATCCCTTCTCCTCCGTTCTCCTCTCAGGATCTTAGGTATGCACACACACACACCCAGGGTGAGTTTTAAGCCACTGGGTCCAGGATGCGAACCGCAGTCGACTACATGGGAGTCCAGCAACATAGCCATTACGCTAACTGCTGGTCCCAGTATCTCTTTTATTTTTGAGAGAGAAAAAGGGATTTTTCTGTAGAGCACATGCGCTCACTGGAGAGACAGAAACAGAGAGACAGAAAGTAAAGAATCACCCCCAGGGAGGATGCCCAGGCTACAGTCCCTTCTCTATTCTCCTCTCAGGATCTTGGGCGCAAATGCACATGCACCTGGCATGAGTTTTAAGCCATCGGGTTCAGGACTCAACCTGCAGTTGACTACGTGGGAATCCATCAGTGTAACATTACACCATCTGCTGGTCCCACGAAAACCAGTATCTTAAATCCTACTATATTTCCAGTTCTCTTTTTCTTGAAGTATTCCTTGTGCTTACTGTGAACAGAATCATTTTGACTAGTATTAATGCTCCTTGTGGGTACTGTGAACAGAATCATTTTGACTAGTATTATAGAAGATCAATCAAAAAACCTAACATACTCAGAGATAGAAACTGTACTGTTCATTGAAATTAAATGACTATGGTCTGAGTTTTAATTTAAGTCAATATTGTTTTAAAATCAATTAAAGAAACTTCTTGTTTTCCTGATTTCATATCAATTTCCCTGATTTACATGTCATATCACAATATATAGCAATACTGTGTTTCACTTCTTGAATCTAAAATAATATTCTTCATAGAAGAATGCATGTACACACATTTTATGTACAGCTTTAATCAGTTCCTGGATTTTGTGGGGAGAGCTAAACTTACTACATTGACTTTATTTTATGCAATTGAAACTAAATTCTTTTAACTCTAGGGCTTTAGAATCTGCAGAGTTGACAGCCAGTCAGCATTCACATGGTATCTATCAATCAGAACATGAGGAGAGCTTTCCAACTGTATCAAGTAAGTAATATTAACAGTGACAGTTTAGTTCTTGCTAAATAAAATGTCTTAAGCAATATAATTTTGTTTTTTAGTCTCTGCCTTTCTCTCTCTCTGTTTAATTCATATATATTTAGGGTGTTCATATAAGAATAGCCTACATCTTTATCTGTGTTCTATGCAAAGGTAAAATAGTTCTTTTCTAACTTATATCATTAAAAACAAATTTTTTTTTTGAGAAGTGTTTGTTTTATGGCACGTGAGCTCGCCAGAAAGACAGAGACATAGAGACAGAAAGCAAGCAATCACCCTCCACGGGGGATGGTCACACTGCAATCCCTTCTCCTCCATTCTCCTCTCAGGATCTTGAGCACGCATGCACATGCATCCAGTGTGAATTTAAGCCACCGGGTCCGAGACTCAAACTGTGGTCAACTTCATGGGAGTCCAGCGACATAACCATTAAGCCAACTGCTGGTCCCTATAATTAACATTTTTAAAAATTTTACCAGAGGTTGCATGTGCTCACTGGAGACAGAATGAAAGTGAGAAATCACCCTCCATGGAGCTTGGTCATGTCACAAGTCCTTCTCCATTTCTCCTTCCTTTTAGGATCTCAGGCGTGCATTCACACATTCCCAGCAAATTATCCAAGCCTCTGAGTCTAGGAATCTTAACTGTAGTCAGCCACGTGGGATTCAGCTACCTTAATCATAACACATAGGATATCCTTATAATTATATTTTCAAATTGAGATGATAATATTTACTTAATTTGTGATACATACAATATGTATATGTGGTGTATATTCATAAAAAATAATCTGTATTTCTTAGGCAACTATTTTGCTTGTTTCTAAATTTTTTTCAATAATTATCTACTATTATTATTATTTTTGGAGAGGTTTTTGCTCTTGGATGGGTGCTTTCACCAGAAAGACAGAGACAGAGAAACAGAAAGCCAGAAATCACCCCTCAGAGGGAATGGCCACACTGCAATCCCTTCTCCATTCTCCTCTTATATCTTGGGCACTCATGTACAAGCTCCCGGTGTGAGTTTAAGCTGCCGGTTCCAGGACTCAAACCATGGTCCAGAACTCGAACATGGGAGTTCAGAGACATAGCCATTACGCTAATTGCTGGTCCCTATTATTATTACTTTTAAAATTTTGCTCTTGGGCACACATGCTCACCAGAGAGAGATGGAAAGAGAAGGAAAGTGAAAAAGTAAGCTGCCAGGTCCAGGACTAGAACTGTGGGCAGTTATATGGGAGTCCAGCGCCTCAACTACCACTCTATCTGCTGGATCCACTTATTATTTCTAAAAGGAATAAAGGTTATTATTATTTTTTGTACTCCTTTATTTCAAACAATCGGAGTATATTTTTTCATATACATCTTAGTCTTTATTGAATTAATCAAGCATCTAATTACAAGATATTAACAATCTGTGGGTTGCATGTTCATATTAATTATGTCCCTGAAGTAGGTTACTCTTCAAATCTGAATTTTAATACTCTCAACATACAGTATTTTTTCGTTTACTACCTCGTCTTAATATCTCCTTGTACATTCTGAAACCTGGAATCTAGGTACTATTTGTAATCTCATATTCTTTTCATGAGATTAAAACTACTACCTACTATTAAAACTCCTACCCCGCTGGGACCAGCAGTTGGGGTAACGACTATGTCTCTGGACTCCCATGTAGTTGACTGCGGTTCGAGTCCCAGACCCAGTGACTTAAACTCATGCTGGGCGCATGTGCGCGTGCCCAAGATCCTGAGAGGAGAATGGAGGAGAAGGGATTGCCGCATGGCCATCCCCTCTGGGGGGTGATTTCTCGCTTTCTGTCTCTTTGTCTTTCTAGCGAGCCCACAAGCCCTATAGCAAAAAAACTCCTACCCTGCTGTGATCCTAAGCACCATCTGAGTATTTACTCTCTTTTTATGATGAACACGAAAACTCGCATGTATTTCTTGGCAAGCACTGAGTAAATACATGTATGCATTGTTATTAATCCTAATAGCACTTGTTATTGTATCCCTTTTACAAAAATGACTCTGAGACTTTAAGTGATGAGCGTCATATAACTTGGACATCGCAGTTACTTAGCTCTGGCAAAGTGAATCAGATTCTATGGCAAAGTAAGTCAGACCCAAATGCATGCTGTGTTTTCTATATATTTTAAATGTATTCCTCTTTCTCTATATTTTAAAGCTCTCCTTATTTCTCAGCACCTGGATTCTGATATTTTAACCTGATGTGATATTATGGAAACTACCAGTAGGAGGCCAATTTAGTTCAATTGATAATCATTTAGAAACAGTTTAATTTGTAACTGTGCCATATTCCCTGAGGTGAGGTTAGCAACTTAGTGTGACTCCTTTAATCCTCATGTTTATACAAACATATGCCTACCTATACATGAACAAATAAGACTTTACTCTCTTTCTTAAATTTTTACTAAAAGGGATTAGTTCTATAATAGTTTCTTTTTTCTATCTAGGCTAATTTATATTACTCAAACTTATTCTCTTAATAAATGCATACTTTATAATATGGAGGTTACAATATTTATTTATTTCTCTAAAATAAACTCCTAAAATGGGGTTGATGTATCAAAGAGAAGACATGTGTTTTAATAGATGCTGCCAGATTATTATTCAAAAGATCATAGGAGTTTATTTATATGGCAATGCAAGAGAATGTCCTTTCCTCACACTTCATAGTGTTAGAGATTAACAATGTATGGAATTTGTTTTTAACAGGTTGGTAGATTAAAGATAATACCTTACTTATCTTTTCTTTCTAGTTGGAAATTAGAAAATCTTCATATTCACCAACTTTTTTATTTCTTTGTTGAGTTGTGTGCTGTTACTCTTTATCTGACTTTGTGTTGGGTTCTTTATCCTTTTCTTATCAGTTTTAGAGACCATGTATATGTTTTAAACATATTTTCTTTTTTGACTGCTTTTGTGGTCTCTGTCATGTCTTTCATTTCATTTTGAAACAGTAGATGTTAATAAATAAGATTCCCTGACATTGTACCATGCCAGCTTGAGATGTCCATTCAAGTTCTCATGCCCTGGGTTCTTATGCTACTTACTAACCGTGTTGAGGAGGAAGGGCTAGTGCATGTGTTTGTTTATGGTGTACCATAAAATACATTTATAAAAATAAAATATACTGTTACATATGTAGACTAAAGTAATTGCACAATTTAGATACTCATCTTAAATTCTTCATTTTTGAAAGTATTTTGTAAACTTATTGCTGAATACTACTTTTGCTTTCTTATAAATTTGTATGTTCATCATACAATTCTATTAAGTTTAGTAAATTTACTCTTTTATCCACCTCTCCTTTTATTTCCTTCACAATGTGTTTTGCCAAGTATAATAAAAATTTCCAAACATCCAGAAGAGTTAAATCAGTTGTACAGTGAACACTCACATACGTGCCACATAGATTCTGCGGTCAGTATCTTTGTTCATTTGCTCCGTCACATGCATCTCTCTCTGTCCCTCTTTTCATCCATCAGTCATTTCAAATACATTTCAATGTAGGTTGCAGACTTCCATATGAACAAAATTAGAGGTCAGTAGTTGTTTAAGATTCTTTTTTATGCACAGTCAACTCCTCATATCATGTACTGTCCTCTGTATTTTGACCAATACCTAAATGTGCACATCTCTCAGATTTGCCAGTTATAGAGCTTCAAATAAATAGTTTTGGGAACCAGCAGTTCACGTAATGGCTATGTCTCTGGACTCCCACATAGTTGACCGCAGTTCGAGTCCCGGACGCAGTGGCTTAAACTCACGCCGGGCGTGTGTGCATGTGTGCCCAAGATCCCGAGAGGAGAATGGAGGAGAAGGGATTGCAGCATGACCATCCCCCCTGGGGGGTGACTTCTCGCTTTCTGTCTCTATGTCTCTCTCTGTCTGTCTGGTGAGTGCATGCGCCCTATGGCGAAAAATTCTCTCCAAAAAAAAAAAAAAAAAATTTAAGTAGTTTTAAATGTGGGCTTGGGACCAGCAGTTAGCGTAATGACTATGTCACTGGACTCCCATGTAGTTGATTGCGGTGTGAGTCTTGGACCTGGTGGCTTAAACTTGGGCTGGGCACATGTGCGTGCATGCCCAAGATCCCGAGAGAATGGAGGAGAAGGGATTGCAGTGTGGCCATCCCTCCTGGGGGGGGGGGGTGAAGGGTGATTTTTCGCTTTCTGTCTGTCTCCATCTTTCTGGTAAGCATACACGCCCTGTAGCAAAAACCTCTCCTAAAAAATAAATAAATAAAAATTAAAAAATAAATGTAGGCTTATATCTGGGCTTTCTATTGAGTACTTACTAGTATAGTGTGAAGTATGTATTTTTTCTTCATATCAATTTCTATTATAGTAGTTACAATATCATTTGCTGAAAAGTGTTTTGTTTTCCTACCTTCAAAAAATCCAAAGTCCATGCAAATGTGGGTTCTTGTCTAGGTTCTCTGTTTAATTCTGATTTAATTGTCAGTCTTTGTGTCAGTACAATATTGTCTTGATTACTTTGGTTTTATAGTAAGACTTGAAGTCGTATAGTGTTACGTCCTCTGGCATTATTCTTCAGGTCATTCTAGTAAGTCTTTCAGTATTATATTCAATATTCCAGATTATTTGCATTTCCACATAAGTGATAAAATCTAATTATCAGTTTCTTTAAGAAAGTCTCCAGTGTTTTGATTAGCTTTGCCTTGAGTCTACACATTAATCTGGGGGGAAATGATACATTGTTAGGATGTCAGCCTCTTAAATCATGGGAGTGGCATGTCTTGCCATTTTATATTTTCTTCCATTTCCTTCAGCAGTGTTTTATAAAGTTTTCACATTGAATTTGTAATGGACTTAAAAATAGTGTAATTCTTTATTTCTTCTTTTTTCTATAGGCTCTGGATCGGTATCCCTATTTGAGGAAGAGAGATGTCAGCAGCTATCTGCTACGAGTAAGACCATGTACTATTTTTGAACTAAGGCCCTAACAGTAATGAGCATGTGAAGCCTGTCCTTACAGTTACCAGCTAATCCACTTCTGTCTGATTGTGAGGGTTGATATCCGTGAGGGCAAAAATATGTCTGTTGTTAACATTAAATCCTCTACATTATCCTGTACTAGCAAAAAACGGACCCCTACCTGTACATGACAGATCCATATTTATACATTGAATAGTGTCTTTTACAAACCTTATAAATTTTATAAGGTTTGTAAAAGACTTAACAGTACAATGGGGTTTGTTTTTAGTTCGAGGATGTAAAATATTCTGTGTGACATTGATCTGTCAGTTCACACTCTGTGTTTAACAGTATGTCCATAAAGGAACTCCTTACCATATGCCCTAAAATTTTCATTATATGTTTTCAGTGATAGTATATCTATCAGATACTCTTCTTCTGTTACTTCAGCTAAAACTAAAAGAAAAAAAAAATTGTTTTAACTTTCATTAGAGAAAGGAGAGCCAGGACATACCCAACAGTGTCACCACGCAGTGACCCACCCCCCTCCCCCCCCAGCCTCAGCCGGCACAGGGCACAGCACACATGTACGCGTGTGCGTGGGAGGATGTCCATGTACAGGGGGGCCTCAGGATCTTCCTATGTGCATCCAGTGCATTACCACTCTGCTATCGTCTGGCCCCAAGAAAAAAATAGTTTTTAAGCACGGGACTATTAATTAATGTACTGTTGTAAAAATAAGAATTTCTCATGTTAAAGAAAGGAGATATATGTATAGAATTAGAGAAGATTAGATAAAAGCTAGTGGTGGTGTGTTGGAGTTGCCAATATGTAATCATAGTTTTGTAGATAAATGTGAAAATATAGTTGTATGTTTGTATGTAAACATATATATTTACACACACATTCATGCACACATTCGTATGTGTATAGCTACATATCTGTATGTGTGTATTAGTCTGAATATGTGTGCATATAAAGTTACCTGTATTCATGAAAGGGCATCGACTCAATGTTGCTATAGTAACAGTAGCACATGTAGTTCAGAGATATCTGTTTTATGAATAATGTCCCTCCCTTAAAGGAATTAAGGATACCTGGAGAAATAGCAGGTTCCAGGGCTAGGACTGGGAAATTACAAGATGAACTTGGAACATCTGCCAGAAAGAAAGTTTTCAGTTAATAATGGTACATGTCAAATAGCATATGATAGAACATGTCAAATCTGCGACAGAGCATCAAAATAAATACTACAAATGCTGAATGAGAGCTCATCACATGAAGGGAGAATGTGTAATAGTGGATATGTTTAAATGTTTCGCAAGTAGCATATCAATATTCTTGAGTAAATAAGCTTCATGGGGTTTACATGGCAGTTGAAGGACTGATAGTGGCCATGCATCAACTGCTGGTGAAAACTGGGCTCTTGGTTCAGGAAAACATCAAAAAAGCTAGTTTACTATATCGTAAGGATCAAGAGATCTGATCCAGGAGATCTATAAGTTTTTATCCGGGAAATAATTAGTTCTTCAGAGAGAAAGAAGGAAGATTGTCGATTGGAATAAAAACAGGGTTAAATAAATTCTGTTGAATAAAGCAAGGTTCTCAGACTTGTAGACAACAATCTGTAGAAGACAACTTCAAAAACCCAGCTAGAAGCAAGATACAGAGAAGATGAGAAGAGCCATCCCTGGAAAGAAAATAGCTCGTCTCCAGCGGAAGAGTATTCCTTCTCCCAGGAAGCTGGGGGTTGGGGTGCAAAGAACCCACTTTCAGGATCCAAGAGGAAGACAAAAGAACAAATGGAAGACTCTTGGAAATTGAGATGTTGGTACTACCAGCAAACCACCTCCTGCTCTCCTGGAGAAGAAAGGCCTAGGGAGACCCCACTGTTGAAAGTGAGGAGGCATTTAAGAATAGAATGGAAGTTACAGTGAACCAAGCCCTTACGAATGAAAACCATGACTTATTGAGGACTGGGATTTAGTTACCAGGCAGAAACTGCAGTTTCAGCTCCTTGCTAAGAAAAATGTAGATCCTCTTCTGGAAGAGCATGTGAAATACAAGAAACCTCAAGGAAACACTGATAACAGAGAATGTGCAGCTAATCAAGTCATGGCAGGAAGAAAAGAATATTTCAGTGTGATGCTGGGCACTCAGCTACTCTGCAGGTTTCAGAGACCCCAGTATGCCAAAATCCTCTTAGCTCACCCTGATGTGCCTGTGTCCCAAGTTTATGGACCACCACACCTACTGAGATTAGTTGTAAGAATCAGAACAATGTTGTCCTGTACATCTCTTGATGAAAAGAGTCTTGCATAATGGTTGAACTATTTACATGTTTTTTTTTTTCCTAAAATATCTGGTCAAGAATTTGGCATCTTTGTTTACTGCTGATGGTTATAAAGTGGCTTCTGCTAAGTTCCACTACAAAGCACTATGAGGGCCTATGGACTGCTCATTGTTGCCTGTAACTGTTTACCTTTGTTCTTGACCTTTTTCTTGCCTAATTGATGTTCTTTAATAATGTTAATGTGTAACAAGGCATGTGGTTCAGTTTATTTTCTATTGTTTTAAACAGAAAATAAAAGGAGTATAAGGTCCTTTTCTCATTTCAAGGTTGCTACCAGTCTCTGCAGTGATTAGACAAAGAGGAAGCATTCAATGTAACATTTTATTGCTTAGTTGAAAACTTTGAATCCTGGTGGTTCTGTCCCTTTAACACTACACAGTTTTCTAATATGTGTTAGTGCTGTGTACCAATGCCGGATTCATTTTTAAAATTTTATATACTATTATTTTGCAGTTTTAGGGAGGTGGCGATGAGAAAGCAAACCATAGGTCTGGGACTCGAACCTCAGTCAGCTTCATGGGACTCCAGCACCTTAACCATCACCACCTGCAGCCCCTAAATGCCTAATTCTTAGTGCTGAAGGTTCAATGTAATGTGTATACCTAAATACTCATGCATTTGTGTTAATTTTGTAAAACACCTCATCAGGTCTATCTTAGGCATTCTGCTTTTGCTCACATTGTTGAAGGTTGGTGGTTTGTTCCATGGTTTCTTATTTGTTTGTTCGTTTTGTTTCTGTTTATTTTGTTATATGGCACATGCATTTGCTGAAGAGAGACAGAGAAGGAAAATGAAGAATTACCCTACAGGGGCAATGGTCATACTGCAATCCCTTGTGTACTCCCCCACTCAGGATTTTGGGCATACATGCCCAACATGATTCCTGAACTGCTGGGACCAGGACTCAAGTTAAACATGTGGGATCCAGCGCCTTAACTACGACACCACCTGCTGTCCCTTGTTCAAGGTTCTTTTGTGTGATCTAAAGGACATTCTGATGTGAGAGAGGCCACGCATTATTATGTAGCTATAGTTTTCTTGATGAGTTGATACTTTAGTCATTGAATTTCAGATCTTAAATTTTCTTTCTAAATTTCAAAAAAATTAAATAAGCCTTGTGGTTTTTCTTAAGTTAGTCAGAAAAATCTCCATTAATTCCATATAAAATAATTTTTTGTGTACTTACCAGAAAATTAAGTTATTTCTTGCCCAAATTATCCAGGATTTATTTAGTATATATTTGCTGAGTACCTACTGTGTGCCTGGCACTATGCTAGTGGAACTTCAGTGTGTATCAGGGAATAAAAGCCTAACCTTTGCTTTCATAGAGTTGATAGTTAATAGAGCTTAATAAGTTTTATAATATACTTTGTATGTTTGGTTCAGAGGAATAAGTCACGAGTATTCTTATGACTCCTATAACTTTTTCTGACTTAATATAAACATTCTTTACAGTACTTACAGATCATCAGTATTTGGAGAAAACACCACTATGTGCCATTTTGAAGCAAAAAGCTCCTCAACAATACCGCATCCGAGCAAAATTGAGGTCATACAAGCCCCGAAGGCTATTTCAGTCTGTTAAACTTCATTGTCCTAAATGTCATTCAATGTAAGTATTTTCCATAATAAAACAAAATTTTATTTCATAGTATTGTGTGTACGTGCACACATATATCATTTCGTGTGCTGGGAATGAGTAAATTGTAATTGTATTTTGAAGGGAAAGTGCTAAATTCTTAGAAAGTAGATTCTTCTTACTCATGCTTCACTTGATTTTAGCCAAAAGACCATGAAGCAACCTGGTTCTTTCTTAACAGTAAATAAAAATAGGTGTTATTTTCAAATTCTAAATTCAGCTTAGCTTGTTATATGCAGGTGATAACAATAAGTTAGTAATATATTTGGGGAAACCTGCATTTGTCAGAAAAGTATCTTCTTAAATGTAAAGAATATTCTTGCAAAGAATTCTATTAATAGTCAGCTGAAGTTTCTAATTAAATGATACAGAAAGCCTGGTTGGAAAATGTTTCCGTCCTGCTTAATAACTACAACATAATAGGTGTAATGTAAATTTTCTTTAGTAATTGAGAATTTCTTAGAGCATCGAGATGTTTTTTCTAAACATTAATTTTTATATAAGCTTATAGGACCATTCTGTAATCCTGTTCATTTGTACTTAGTTCACGACATACTATGAAAATTCTTTTTAATCCCCACTCATCTTTTTAATGTAATTCACCTATATTCTCTTTAAGTATATAAAATGATATTTTGCAAATGTAGGTAGTCAATATATGTATTTGGGTACCACAAATCAAGTTTTCACTATAGTGTCCTAAAATGTGTTAAAAAAAAGTATATATATTATCTCTATATGCTTGTATATTCATATGTTGTTTTTGAAAATCTTTGTACATTAATATACATATATTTTTCCCTCCAAAATCTAAGTATTATACTGAGGAGCATATGATTATCAAATTTTCATAAATAAAATATGCAAGACCTGTCTTCTAACCCCTTGAGCCTGAAACAGTAGTTGGAATTAAAATGCATGTAAGGATTTTAAATAATTCTTGAAAGTATTATCAAATTTTGGTTCACTGAATGTTGCAAAGTCATAAAGGTTTATAAAACCAAACCACATTTTATGATGCCTTTTGAGCAAATAAGGAGATCACCTGAGAATTAGTAGATTACCTAAAGTTACCAGCTAGTTAGTTGGCAAAAGAATGAGGACAGGGACCAGCAGTTAGCGTAATGGCTGTGTCACTGGAACTCCCATATAGCCGACTGTGGTTTGAGACCCCCACCCAGTGGCTTAAACTCTCACTGGACACATGTGTGTGCGTGCCCAAAATCCCGAGAGGAGAATGGAGGAGAAGGTATTGCAGCATGGCCATCCCCCCTGGGAGGTGATTTCTCGCTTTCTGTCTCTCTGTCTCTCTCTCTTTCTGGTGAGCACACGCACTCTATAGCAAAAACCCCTCCAAAAAAAAAGAATCAGGACAAAGATATAGTCCTTAACCATGTGACTTTTAAAATTATTAATCATTAAAGGGAATTGAAATTAATACTCATTTAAAGTTGATGTTCTATGAAAGTTATGTTGCCTTAGTAGTAAGTATATATTTAATTGGAGTGAAGACTTAGTCTGCTGCATTTTTTTTCCTTCCTCCTAGGAAGTTTAGCATTCTATTTTTTTTTCCCTCAAAGATTTATTTATTGGGACTAGCAGATGGTGTAATGGTTATATTGTTGGACTACCATGTAGTTGACTGCCATTCAAGTCCCAGACCCAGCGGATTAAACAACTCACATGGGGCACGTGTGCATGTATACCTAAAATCCTGAGAGGAGAATGGAGGAGAAGGCCATATCCCTAGGGATGGCCTCACTTTGTATCTCTCTGTCTCTCTTCCCATATCTCCAGTGAGCACATGCACCCTATAGCAAAAATCTCCCTTAAAAAAAGAGAGGGGAAAATAATTATTTATTTTATTTAATTTTATTTATTATTGTTATTGTTGTTGTTTAATTTGTATAGGGCATATACCCATACACTCACCAGAAGAAGACAGAGGGAAAGGGAAAGGGAGAAAGCAAGCCTCTAATCCAGGACTCAAACAACGGTCAGCCATGTGGGAATCCAGCACCTTCACCACTACAGTCATCTGCCAGCCCCCCAATTTAGCATTCTTTATAGAGGAAAACTAGCTGGTGTTGGAAATAATCCTAAGTGTCTTTGGTGTTAAAACCAGGTATGTAAGTCACCAATAGTTAATTTAATTATGATATAGATTTTTTTTTGTCACAAAGTATGAAATGTTTTCCTGTGGAATAAAAGTCACTTTATCTACAGTGAATTATCTCCATAATTTAAGAAAAAGCTGACTTACCTGCATATAAATAATAGTAGCTTTTAATTGGATAATTTGTTAAATTGGGTACTTCAAACTTTTACCAAGAAGTTGTTTTCTGTTACTTTATTGTCAATGACTCTAGGCAGGAAGTTCCACATGAGGAAGAGTTGGATTTGATACTGAAAGATAGCACAACTAATACCCCAGATACCAAACTACAAAATACATTATTATATGATTCAAATATGTGGACCACCGAAGATCAAGGTGGACGAAAAGTAGCTGTTCATTTTGTGAAAAATAATGGTATTCTTCCACTTTCCAATGAATGTCTAATCTTGATTGAAGGTAAGATACATAAGTTACTATTTTGTGAGAGTACTATTTGCATACTTTACTCCGTTAACTTATTATCCAGTATATTTTATGAATAATCTAGTGCATATAAACTAAAAATATTGTTCATTTAAATTTTATAAAGTGGAATGTATGTATCAGTAGATTAATATACACACATATGTATGTAAATTTATAAATTACGTTTTAAAACCGCATTCAATTCAAGTGTTTACATTTATCCATCTTGTCGGTTCCTACTCAGCTCCACAAGCTGAAATAGAGGCTGTTGCTTTCGTGTTGGCCTCTGGATGTCACTGTTGTATCATAAATAAGGACAAAAGTCACCTGTTGATATGTACATGGACTATTGTTTGTATTGGTATTTAAATTAAATCTTGACCTGAAAGTTTGAAGAATTTATTTCAGCCTTCAGAACTAATTTGCCTAGATATTAAATGGTATATAGCAAGTTTAATAATGAGAATCCTGTCATACTTTGGCTCTCAACATTATTCTCTTTGATTTCTTTGAACTAAAGTGTTCCTGGCAAAAAAAGCAACTTATTTAAATTTGAGATCATGATGAAAACTTCACAAGTTTATATTTTAATCAGATCTTAGCAATTTTGGTACAGTGATTTCTTTAATTAATGTGTAAGATCTTTACACATTGATATTTTTAAATGTATTCAATCTAATTTTATGACTTTTCTTGTCTTTTAGTCTTTTACTATACCTCATGTGTTACTTAAGTAAGAACTCCATTTTACCTACCTTATATTTGTACTGTTTGAAGGGTTTATTTATTCTCCCTTAACAGGAGGTACACTCTGTGAAATCTACAAACTCTTGGACAAATTTCATAGTGTAATTCCTGTGAGGTCTGGCCATGAAGACCTGGAACTCCTGGATCTTTCAGCACCATTCCTTATTCAAGGAAAAGTGTGTCACTATGGGTATGTTTCAGTGCAGAGAATTTTGGAATTAAAAACTGTTTTAGGAGTAATTTTAAAATACTTTATTCCACTGGTTACTATAGGTTCAATTGATACTTACTGAGTAGCTTTGTATATGTAATAGGTCTATCTGTCATATAGCTGTTCTTTCGACAAGCAAATGTGTACATATTGTGAGGGTACCAACTTTTTACTCCTCAGACAGATTGGAACTCACTTGTTTTTGTTCACACAACAAGGATTTAAATAAATAAATATTAGCTACAGAAAGAAGTTCAGAACTGCGAACCTAATAATCATTTAGCAATTGAATTCCAGAATTCCTGAGCCACTAAATTACAAATCTACTGCTGTTGAAAATTTAAAAAAAAAAAAAAAAAAGAATACATGAGGCACTATTAACAGATTTCTAGGTTTGGAGGGAGGGGATAAGGATAAAATGCCTTTGACTCCTTGATGAAACAGTTACCCTAGAAATGCTTTACTTTGAGAAACCTGGGATTAGGTGAAGGGTGATTTTTCGCTTTCTGTCTGTCTCCATCTTTCTGGTAAGCATACACGCCCTGTAGCAAAAACCTCTCCTAAAAAATAAATAAATAAAAATTAAAAAATAAATGTAGGCTTATATCTGGGCTTTCTATTGAGTACTTACTAGTATAGTGTGAAGTATGTATTTTTTCTTCATATCAATTTCTATTATAGTAGTTACAATATCATTTGCTGAAAAGTGTTTTGTTTTCCTACCTTCAAAAAATCCAAAGTCCATGCAAATGTGGGTTCTTGTCTAGGTTCTCTGTTTAATTCTGATTTAATTGTCAGTCTTTGTGTCAGTACAATATTGTCTTGATTACTTTGGTTTTATAGTAAGACTTGAAGTCGTATAGTGTTACGTCCTCTGGCATTATTCTTCAGGTCATTCTAGTAAGTCTTTCAGTATTATATTCAATATTCCAGATTATTTGCATTTCCACATAAGTGATAAAATCTAATTATCAGTTTCTTTAAGAAAGTCTCCAGTGTTTTGATTAGCTTTGCCTTGAGTCTACACATTAATCTGGGGGGAAATGATACATTGTTAGGATGTCAGCCTCTTAAATCATGGGAGTGGCATGTCTTGCCATTTTATATTTTCTTCCATTTCCTTCAGCAGTGTTTTATAAAGTTTTCACATTGAATTTGTAATGGACTTAAAAATAGTGTAATTCTTTATTTCTTCTTTTTTCTATAGGCTCTGGATCGGTATCCCTATTTGAGGAAGAGAGATGTCAGCAGCTATCTGCTACGAGTAAGACCATGTACTATTTTTGAACTAAGGCCCTAACAGTAATGAGCATGTGAAGCCTGTCCTTACAGTTACCAGCTAATCCACTTCTGTCTGATTGTGAGGGTTGATATCCGTGAGGGCAAAAATATGTCTGTTGTTAACATTAAATCCTCTACATTATCCTGTACTAGCAAAAAACGGACCCCTACCTGTACATGACAGATCCATATTTATACATTGAATAGTGTCTTTTACAAACCTTATAAATTTTATAAGGTTTGTAAAAGACTTAACAGTACAATGGGGTTTGTTTTTAGTTCGAGGATGTAAAATATTCTGTGTGACATTGATCTGTCAGTTCACACTCTGTGTTTAACAGTATGTCCATAAAGGAACTCCTTACCATATGCCCTAAAATTTTCATTATATGTTTTCAGTGATAGTATATCTATCAGATACTCTTCTTCTGTTACTTCAGCTAAAACTAAAAGAAAAAAAAAATTGTTTTAACTTTCATTAGAGAAAGGAGAGCCAGGACATACCCAACAGTGTCACCACGCAGTGACCCACCCCCCTCCCCCCCCAGCCTCAGCCGGCACAGGGCACAGCACACATGTACGCGTGTGCGTGGGAGGATGTCCATGTACAGGGGGGCCTCAGGATCTTCCTATGTGCATCCAGTGCATTACCACTCTGCTATCGTCTGGCCCCAAGAAAAAAATAGTTTTTAAGCACGGGACTATTAATTAATGTACTGTTGTAAAAATAAGAATTTCTCATGTTAAAGAAAGGAGATATATGTATAGAATTAGAGAAGATTAGATAAAAGCTAGTGGTGGTGTGTTGGAGTTGCCAATATGTAATCATAGTTTTGTAGATAAATGTGAAAATATAGTTGTATGTTTGTATGTAAACATATATATTTACACACACATTCATGCACACATTCGTATGTGTATAGCTACATATCTGTATGTGTGTATTAGTCTGAATATGTGTGCATATAAAGTTACCTGTATTCATGAAAGGGCATCGACTCAATGTTGCTATAGTAACAGTAGCACATGTAGTTCAGAGATATCTGTTTTATGAATAATGTCCCTCCCTTAAAGGAATTAAGGATACCTGGAGAAATAGCAGGTTCCAGGGCTAGGACTGGGAAATTACAAGATGAACTTGGAACATCTGCCAGAAAGAAAGTTTTCAGTTAATAATGGTACATGTCAAATAGCATATGATAGAACATGTCAAATCTGCGACAGAGCATCAAAATAAATACTACAAATGCTGAATGAGAGCTCATCACATGAAGGGAGAATGTGTAATAGTGGATATGTTTAAATGTTTCGCAAGTAGCATATCAATATTCTTGAGTAAATAAGCTTCATGGGGTTTACATGGCAGTTGAAGGACTGATAGTGGCCATGCATCAACTGCTGGTGAAAACTGGGCTCTTGGTTCAGGAAAACATCAAAAAAGCTAGTTTACTATATCGTAAGGATCAAGAGATCTGATCCAGGAGATCTATAAGTTTTTATCCGGGAAATAATTAGTTCTTCAGAGAGAAAGAAGGAAGATTGTCGATTGGAATAAAAACAGGGTTAAATAAATTCTGTTGAATAAAGCAAGGTTCTCAGACTTGTAGACAACAATCTGTAGAAGACAACTTCAAAAACCCAGCTAGAAGCAAGATACAGAGAAGATGAGAAGAGCCATCCCTGGAAAGAAAATAGCTCGTCTCCAGCGGAAGAGTATTCCTTCTCCCAGGAAGCTGGGGGTTGGGGTGCAAAGAACCCACTTTCAGGATCCAAGAGGAAGACAAAAGAACAAATGGAAGACTCTTGGAAATTGAGATGTTGGTACTACCAGCAAACCACCTCCTGCTCTCCTGGAGAAGAAAGGCCTAGGGAGACCCCACTGTTGAAAGTGAGGAGGCATTTAAGAATAGAATGGAAGTTACAGTGAACCAAGCCCTTACGAATGAAAACCATGACTTATTGAGGACTGGGATTTAGTTACCAGGCAGAAACTGCAGTTTCAGCTCCTTGCTAAGAAAAATGTAGATCCTCTTCTGGAAGAGCATGTGAAATACAAGAAACCTCAAGGAAACACTGATAACAGAGAATGTGCAGCTAATCAAGTCATGGCAGGAAGAAAAGAATATTTCAGTGTGATGCTGGGCACTCAGCTACTCTGCAGGTTTCAGAGACCCCAGTATGCCAAAATCCTCTTAGCTCACCCTGATGTGCCTGTGTCCCAAGTTTATGGACCACCACACCTACTGAGATTAGTTGTAAGAATCAGAACAATGTTGTCCTGTACATCTCTTGATGAAAAGAGTCTTGCATAATGGTTGAACTATTTACATGTTTTTTTTTTTCCTGAAATATCTGGTCAAGAATTTGGCATCTTTGTTTACTGCTGATGGTTATAAAGTGGCTTCTGCTAAGTTCCACTACAAAGCACTATGAGGGCCTATGGACTGCTCATTGTTGCCTGTAACTGTTTACCTTTGTTCTTGACCTTTTTCTTGCCTAATTGATGTTCTTTAATAATGTTAATGTGTAACAAGGCATGTGGTTCAGTTTATTTTCTATTGTTTTAAACAGAAAATAAAAGGAGTATAAGGTCCTTTTCTCATTTCAAGGTTGCTACCAGTCTCTGCAGTGATTAGACAAAGAGGAAGCATTCAATGTAACATTTTATTGCTTAGTTGAAAACTTTGAATCCTGGTGGTTCTGTCCCTTTAACACTACACAGTTTTCTAATATGTGTTAGTGCTGTGTACCAATGCCGGATTCATTTTTAAAATTTTATATACTATTATTTTGCAGTTTTAGGGAGGTGGCGATGAGAAAGCAAACCATAGGTCTGGGACTCGAACCTCAGTCAGCTTCATGGGACTCCAGCACCTTAACCATCACCACCTGCAGCCCCTAAATGCCTAATTCTTAGTGCTGAAGGTTCAATGTAATGTGTATACCTAAATACTCATGCATTTGTGTTAATTTTGTAAAACACCTCATCAGGTCTATCTTAGGCATTCTGCTTTTGCTCACATTGTTGAAGGTTGGTGGTTTGTTCCATGGTTTCTTATTTGTTTGTTCGTTTTGTTTCTGTTTATTTTGTTATATGGCACATGCATTTGCTGAAGAGAGACAGAGAAGGAAAATGAAGAATTACCCTACAGGGGCAATGGTCATACTGCAATCCCTTGTGTACTCCCCCACTCAGGATTTTGGGCATACATGCCCAACATGATTCCTGAACTGCTGGGACCAGGACTCAAGTTAAACATGTGGGATCCAGCGCCTTAACTACGACACCACCTGCTGTCCCTTGTTCAAGGTTCTTTTGTGTGATCTAAAGGACATTCTGATGTGAGAGAGGCCACGCATTATTATGTAGCTATAGTTTTCTTGATGAGTTGATACTTTAGTCATTGAATTTCAGATCTTAAATTTTCTTTCTAAATTTCAAAAAAATTAAATAAGCCTTGTGGTTTTTCTTAAGTTAGTCAGAAAAATCTCCATTAATTCCATATAAAATAATTTTTTGTGTACTTACCAGAAAATTAAGTTATTTCTTGCCCAAATTATCCAGGATTTATTTAGTATATATTTGCTGAGTACCTACTGTGTGCCTGGCACTATGCTAGTGGAACTTCAGTGTGTATCAGGGAATAAAAGCCTAACCTTTGCTTTCATAGAGTTGATAGTTAATAGAGCTTAATAAG